TGTCTGTCTGTCTGACTCACTCAGTACATAAAACTGTCTGTCTGTCTCTCTGTCTGTCTGACTCTATGGAGAAAATCTTCAAATCATGTTAAAGCTTTCAGCATTCCAATGCATTTTCAGCAGTAAATGCATCTGTTTGTAGTGTTAGTATTATTGAGCCATGGGTGAATTCTGAGCTGCTCCAGGGTAGGCCGCTGTTTGGGGTCTGTGATGAAACATTTTTTCAAGAAATCCTGGCAATCTGGAGAGAAAGAAGGAGAAGAAAGGTGAGGGTGATGGCTACAGTGATCCATCAGAATGTCAACTGAAATCAACAGATATGTTTCTGCTGACATGTTCGTGAGTATGTTTTTCTTACATTTGGACAGCGTCTCACTGATTCTCAAACGGTTTTCCAAGACCTCGGTGGTCTCAAAACCTCTATCACTGTGGAGTGCATTAAAGAGGACCACTCCGATCTGCCACACTGTGGTGGGTCCGGCTCTGTACCAACCAAGACTTAACCACTCTGGGACAATGGAGGAACCTAGAATATACAGACATAATAAGACGGTGAGGATGAGGATGAGGAGCTGTGTCTAAATTTAAAAGTCACAGATGGGTACGTTAGTGAAGAGCAGGAGTAAAGCCAGACATCTTACCGTAGAAGCTGCGATAACGGGATCCTCTCTTGACAAAGCAGCTCACACCAAAGTCAATAAGGCGAACTCGCGGGACGTCCGAGCTGGTCTCAATCAAGATGTTTTCAGCCTTAATGTCCCGGTGGAAAATGTTTTTCCCCTCAAGGTCAATTGCTACATCTACCAGCTGTTTCAGTATGATCTGACAGACAAAAAGAGAGAGAGGTGAGGGATCACAGAGAAGGATGGTTTGACATGTTTTCATGGCTGACTCTGAGCTGACTACAACTACAGAACACAATGTTTCTAAAACCATCTTTAAGCCATAGAAACTGAAATGCACAAGAGATTTTCAGCAGATTGGGTAAAAATCACATCTGTTTATTTTTCTCCTCCAAATAAGTTCAGTTGACCTGGAGCTTTGTCTACCAACTGTTTGACTGCCTCCACTACTGTTTCTTGATCCATCTGAACAATTACTTTGGTGAATACAATGTTACCATGATCAACAGAAACAATGACCTAAAAACTACGAAAAGAAACCTTAAATTGCAAAATAAATCCTTTAGGTAGTCTCCAAGTTCCTGTAAAAAGTTAAAGACACACAAGGATCCTCCAGCAGCTTACCTTGGCCTCCTGCTCTTCTATGGAGTCTCCGTTGCCGTGGATGTAGTCGAATAGGTCCTCGACGGGGATTGGTCTCTCCAGCACCATGATCAGCTCCTGGTCCAGATCGTACCAGTCCAATAGAGACACGAGTGCTGACTGATCAGTCCCCGCTGATCTACTTGTTTTGTCCACCAGTTTCAAATTGATGGCAACCTCTATGGACAGCTTCTTCCCAGTTTCATCCTGAAACATCACAACAGAGTGGATGATGAGAGAGAACCATGATTCATCCATAATACATTCAGAAACAGAGTGCAGTGTTGAATACAGAAGATTTTAACAGCAGCAGGTGTTGCTTACTCACCACGTGTTTGCGGCCAATTTTCTCCTTGGGAATGTATTTGATGGCAACCTACAAGATACAAAGAAGACTTGTGTTAGCACTCCCTGACCATATCGTGATTGTGTGTGTGCAAGATTGTGTGTGTGTAACACTTACAGGTAGATTATCTGCTTTGCGATAGCCACCAAACACAGTTCCATATCCTCCTTCACCAAGCTGATCCTGCTGTTCGTATTTGGCCTCAAATTCAGCTGAACAGACAAACACATATTATGTTTTAATACAGGGTAACACCAATTATATGCTACCTAAGCTCTAATATGAATCCCTCCTATGCTATACTTAATATAAATCCAAATGTTACACTAAAATGAGGTTAAACCTTACATTTAATAATAATAATAACGTTATTTATATAGCACCTTTAAAAACAGAGTTTACAAAGTGCTTTGACAGACAAAGCAGCAAAAGCAAGGCAATAGTAACAACACTATACTGACCTCTTAAGGCATCTATAGCCTGTTTGGTCTTCTCCAGGTTTGGCCTCCTTTTCTTTTTTCTCTTTGGTTCTTCACCAAAGGCGGCGGTCTTCCTCTTACCGAATCTCTCATCCTCCACAGATGTATTGCAGCTTTCTACAGAGGAGGAAAAAAAACCAGAGGAACATCAGCTTGACCATCATAGGGACTAACGTGGAAAATAGACATCCTCCATACTAAATGACAAAATGGGCAGATTCAAAAATAGTTTGCCTGCCAAAACCTCAATAAAAATAACATTTCTCACTGTCCTCTCCTGGAATCTATCCAAGCAGGTAGTTTTATTTGTCCAGTTTTTGACATATCTGTCTCCAGCCCAATACAATGCAATTTAGTTTGTGGTGCTCACAGCATTGAAACATTTAACAGCAACATCTATTTCCAAAAACAGGCTCCTTGTTACTCTGGATAATCTACAATAGGGGTGGGAATCACCAGAGGTCCCGCGATATGATATTATCACGATAGTTAGGTCACGATAGTTAGGTCACGATACGATATTATCACGATGCTGCGATATTCTGAGTATTGCGATATCATAGGCCTATATTGCGATTCATTACTTTTTCAACTTCAAATTATGTCCCCAAAGGAAAACTGTGTCAACATGTTTTATATAATAAGATAAAGTTTTCAGTCTGTTCATCTCACTTCAATCATTTTTATTGCAGCAAAATAGGATTGTCAAGCAGACAGACTGACCAACAATGTCATAAATGTTACATGAACCTGACAAACTGAATGTATTACTACATAGTCCAACTTAACTAAATGCAAACGTGTGGACTCAGTATATGAACTATAACTTATATAAGTAGGATATAAGAGTTATATAACTCAGTATAACTTGCGATGCGTGGACGTCAAGGGCAGAGAGACAGGTATGCACTGCACTCTCCCCATGAGCCTGGCTACTGTTGGCAGATTTAACTCCGTTGTGAGGCCAGATGTCTCTATCTTTGTTTTGACCAACTTCCTACCAATCACGCTGACCCGGGACCTTTGCTGACCTCACCAGAAAATAACTCAGCACCATCTAGTGGACTGAAAAAGTAATTGATTTGATTTTACCAAAGAAATAGTCCAAAAGAAACTATAGTGTGTTTGATAGATTATCCATCCAGGGCACGTTTTTGGAAAGAGTTGTTGCTTTTGAATTTTAAAATGTAAATTGTTGATGCTGTGAGCACCAAAAATGAAATTCGTCTTCAACACCTGGGTGAAATCAAAAATCTCAGACACATCTTTTAAAACCTGAGGAAACCTGGGAGAAATTATCCAAACTATCTGCATAAATTGATACCATTAGAGGGAAGGGAGAATTAGTTTTCTTTGTAATTTAGGTGAACTGAAGTCTATTTAGATCAATATA